TTGCCTCTTTTTACCTTGAATATTTTAAAGCCAACATACTTAACAAGGGATAGTTGTACGGGCTCCAGGCATGTACACGGTCATTCCTTGGACCATGATATCTGATTACTTTTCTTACAGAAGCTGGAAATCAAGAGGTTTGCTTCATTAACTCCCTCATGTGATTTAAGAACTGACCACTCTGGAGGGAAACTGTTACTCAAACATTCTCAGCACTCTTAAGGGCTAAACACATAGAAAATGTTTGTGGCCAGGCAGTCACATGGACCCTGTCTTTTGCAGCAGAGGCAAGCAAAACATGAGCAATAGTCATGTACAAATTAAGGTCTAACGTCACTTTCCAAGTCAGCAGCAAACCAAAGAACTAGAAATTATTTCACACTGACACACAGTCACACTGAAAAAGTATGTGGAAATAAATACCTAAATATACACTAATTATAAGTCATAATTTTTTCCTATTTAAAATTGACAGGCTGGGCAGAGTGGCACACCCTGTAATCCCAACACTTTGGGAGGTTGAGGCAGGAAGACTGCTTGAGGCCAGGAGTTCAAGATCAGCGCAGGCAACACAGCAAGACTCCATGTCTACAAAAAGTTTTTTAAAAAATTAGCTGGGCAGGCGGGGCGCGGTGGCTCACGCCTGTAATCCCAGCACTTTGGGAGGCTGAGGCGGGTGGATCACGAGGTCAAGAGATCGAGACCATCCTGGTCAACATGGTGAAACCCTGTCTCTACTAAAAATACAAAAAATCAGCTGGGCATGGTGGCGCATGCCTGTAATCCCAGCTACTCAGGAGACTAAGGCAGGAGAATTGCCTGAACCCAGGACGCGGAGGTTGCGGTGAGCCGAGATTGCGCCATTGCACTCCAGCCTGGGTAACAAGAGTGAAACTCCGTCTCAAAAAAAAAACCTGCCTTAAAAAAAAAAATTAGCTGGGCATGGTGGTGTAAACCTGTAGTCCCAGCTACTGGGGAGGGCTAAGGCAGGAGGGTCCCTTGAGTGTGGGCAACAGAGTAAGACTCTGCCTCTTAAAGAAAAATAGACAAGGCCAGGCATGGTGGCTCACGCCTGTAATCCCAGTACTTTGGGAGGCCAAGAAGGGCAGATCATGAAGTCAAGAGATCGAGACCATCCTGGCCAACATGTTAAAGCCCAGTCTTAAAAAAAAAAAAAAGAAAAATTGACCAAAAAACCTTAACGAAACAAACTTATTCAGAGTGCAAAGACTAGCTATTCTTTTCTTCAGTAGAAGTATAATTTTTCTTTTGACAAACTTCAACCAGAGAATTAGAATGCATTATCTGTGGTACAGATTAAAATGAATATTTCAAACTAGTCTCTTCCAGGTATTAAAAATTCACTGTGAGGCCGGGCGCGGTGGCTCAAGCCTGTAATCCCAGCACTTTGGGAGGCCGAGGCGGGTGGATCACGAGGTCAAGAGATCAAGACCATCCTGGTCAACATGGTGAAACCCCGTCTCTACTAAAAATACAAAAAATTAGCTGGGCATGGTGGCGCGTGCCTGCAATCCCAGCTACTCGGGAGCCTGAGGCAGGAGAATTGCCTGAACCCAGGAGGCGGAGGCTGCGGTGAGCCGAGATCGCACCATTGCACTCCAGCCTGGGTAACAAGAGCGAAACTCTGTCAAAAAAAAAAAAAAAAAAAAAATTCACTGTGAGGAATTTCTGAGGATCAATACTGGAGCAGAGGTACTAAATGCTAACAGAATCTACAGTTCAATAATAGATGAGAACTACATTGAAATGAACATGAGTACAATATGGCAGTATTACTATCAAGAGATCTTGATATCAAAATAAGTCGTGATTCATAATGTATTTAAGTCACTGACCTAAGTAATTACCTAATTCTCTCAGTTTAGGCTTATTTATCTGTAAAACTGGAAAACACATCTTACTAACTTCCCAGGATGCTCTGAGGACACATGATTACAAATCCATGTACCATGAGTCCTTATATACAATGAATTTGGAATACACTATGATGTCATTAGACAAAGCTTAATGCATTAGCAATTCTGAGTATTAAAAAAAAAAGCTGCCCAGGCGCGGTGGCTCATGCCTATAAGCCCAGCACTTTGGGAGACTGAGGCGGGTGGATCACAAGGTCAAGAGATCGAGATCATCTTGGTCAATAATGGTGAAACCCCGTCTCTACTAAAAACATAAAAATTAGCTGGGCATGTGGCGCGGCCTGTAGTCCCAGCTACTCGGGAGGCTGAGGTAGGAGAATTGCCAGGTCGCCTGAGCCGAGATCGTGCCATTGCACTCAGGCCTGGGTAAAAAGGGCAAAACTCCGTCTCAAAAAAAAATAAAAATTAAAATTAAAAAAAAAAAGGAGAATTTAAACAGTCTTGCCACCATTTAATTTTTCCTAAACTGGTAGTGATTCTGCAGTTCCATCTGCAACTGTCACCCAGTTCCAGTCCTCTCACGAACCACCACACACTCGTCGGGCAGTTGGCTGGGGTTATGCTGCAGCCAAATAAAGTGAAACTACTGGAACTGAACCAATGGTCATTTTGCAAGGACACCTGAACTCTGAAGCACTTTGTAAACAGCTGATTATTTCTAGTAACACTCCTATAAAGTTTCAGTATTGAGCTATCCATCATATTTCATTGCAAACTACATGTCGCCTTAAAACAAGAAAAGTTTGGTATTCAAGAAGGGTTGATAAAGAAAAAAAGAAACAAAAAGAAAAAAGAAAACAAGAAAAGTGCAAGGCAGTTCCCTGGTAAGAGTCAGAGTCACTCTGTCCCCCAGGCTGGAGTGCGGTGGCACGATCCCAGCTTACTGCAACCTCCGCCTCCGGAACTCAAGTGATCCTCCCACCTCAGCCTCCCGGGACCGCAGGCAGGCGCCACCACGCCAGGTTATTTTTGTATTGTTTTGTCGAGACCAGGTTTCACCATGTTGCCCAGGCTGGTTAAAACTCCTGAGCTCCTGATCCACCCGTTTTGGCATTCCAAAGTGCTGGGATTACAGGCATGAGCCACGCCGCAGTGCCTGGCCAGTTTCCTAGTTTGGAAAAAAAAAACTCACAAGTGGCTGGTCCGAAGGTAGTGAGCTATCTCAATTGATTGTTCAGTCAGTTACAGATCGAACTCCTTGTTCTACTCTTTCCCTGCTTCTCACCACTGCACTTGACTAGTCTTAAAAATAAATAGAAATTGCCAGGCGCGGTGGCTCACGCCTATAATCCCAGCACTTTGGGAGGCTGAGGCGGGTGAATCACGAGGTCAGAAGGTTGAGACCATCCTGGCTAACACGGTGAAACCCCGTCTCTATTTAAAAAAAAAAAAAAAAAGGCCGGGCGCGGTGGCTCAAGCCTGTAATCCCAGCACTTTGGGAGGCCGAGGCGGGTAGATCACGAGGTCAAGAGATCAAGACCATCCTGGTCAACATGGTGAAACCCCGTCTCTACTAAAAATACAAAAAATTAGCTGGGCATGGTGGCACGTGCCTGTAATCCCAGCTACTCAGGAGGCTGAGGCAGGAGAATTGCCTGAACCCAGGAGGCGGAGGTTGCGGTGAGCTGAGATCGCGCCATTGCACTCCAGCCTGGGTAACAAGAGTGAAACTCCGTCTCAAAAAAAAAAAAAGAAACTCACAAATATAGTCCAATTCTACAGGTAAAAGTTATTAAGTGTAAATAACTCTTACCACCTGGAGCAAGGCCCAACTTAAAACTGGGAGGGGCTCCTCACAGCAGCCAACGTGGCACCAATAATCTTACACTTTTAAAGCTCAAGTCCAAACCTTTATTCTACAAATAGATTTTAAATTAAGGGCTTATGGTCTGGTTATAATCGCTCTTACACTGTCCTATGTACTTATTACAGTTCTAAGTGCTTTACACCTATTTACTCCTTTAATCCGGACAACAAATCTGAAGTAGAGTGAGGTCAAGTAGTTCGCCCAAGGTAACACAGCTATCAAGTGACAAGGTTAGAATTCAAATCCAAGTAGCATAGCTTCAGAACCTATAATCTTAAGCCACCAGGCTCTACTGCTTTACTAGGGCTCAGAGTTCTGAGAGAAAAGAATCCTCTACAGTGTTTTTCAATCCCACCAGCGCAAATGAATTGTAAACCAGCGACTTAAAAGTTCTTCCTGTGTGCAACCTTAGTAATCTAACTTTTGAATCCAAAATGGGTAACCTCTCTGAGAAACTAAAAGATGCTGTGGCCAATCTGGAAAGAATTCGTGTTTCCTGGTGTTAGTGGGGTTCTGCTTTTTTCTAATTGCAACACCTGAAACGCCTTAAAACATAAGTAAACAGGCTATCAGCCATTTTCGTGAGAACAGCGAACACCTATTACACTTTAATGATGCCTAAATTGATAAATCTGAGCTAAAAACAGGATTTTTTTTTTTTTTTAGCTCAGATTTATCAATTTAGGCATCAATCAACAACAATGGCTGTGTTTTTCCCCAGCAGCCTCTAATATAGTTGGGAGAAGACTCAGTTTATGTATGTGAATGTAAGTAAGAAATGAGGGAGAAGTGAGGGGTGAGGAGGCTATTCATTCCTCTCTCTCCAAAGCGGGGCGTCTTAGACCCTCCCGCTTGAACTCAAAATCAGTATCACACATCATTTCTGCCTTGGCCGGCTTCAGTGCCTCTCCAGGCTGTAGGGAGGGTGGCTACGTGGCGTTACGAGGACTTCCCCCAGCCAGAGAGGAGGTGGCAGCCCCAGTTGGTGGCATCCCCTCGCCCAGAGCCCCGCGGCAGGGGGCGCCAGGAGCTTCCCGGGGATCCCCCAGGAGGGCAAAGTCTGAAGTGGCTGGCTTGGAGCCGCACTTCGGCCAGGGCCTGCCTAGCACCCACTCAGAGCCTCTGTGACCACCCCTGCCAAACCGCCCACCCCGGCCAAACCAACCCCCCCGGACTCAAAGGTTAGCCGACGCGCCGGGGACGGGGCTAGGCTCCTGAGGCGAAGGCACCCAAGACAAACGCTGTGGGACACTCACCAGGTTGAGGGGTCCTTCCATTACTTCCATAGACCCCGGGGCAAGCGGTGGCCTTAGGAAGTGAAGCGGTGGCGCCGGGGAACATGGAGGGGACTGCAAGGGAGCGCAACGCAGCCGCAGACACCGCGGCCCTTCTCTGCGACCCAACAGCCAGTGGTGGGCGCAGAGCAAGCAACAACCTCACCACTTCCTCCTCCTGCGCGGCGCCGCGGGCCCGGGCCCGCCCCCTCCGCCGCCGCCACGGCCACGCACAGCGCCATGACGTCACACGCCCAAATGGCCGGTTGGAGGTGGGAGAACAGGGAGTGGGTGGGGCCCAGGGAAGGCGGGGCACCAGCTGCCGTACGCTTGCGAGCGGTCAATCTTTCATCTCGCGAGAAGCATTAGTTCAGTTTCTTGACGTCTCCTCTGACGTCTCGCGAGGAGGTACAACCTTGTTGTTGATGACTTGAAATGGCTGTCTTCTGCAATTCGTCTTTCAAGTTTCCTACTAGATTGACTTTTCCGTGAAACTACTCATCTTCGTTACCCCCTTTCTTGCGCTCCTGTCCACATCTTTATCCTTGTATTTGATTTTTTTTTGAAAAGGCAGATATGGGCCGGGCGCGGTGGCTCACGCCTGTAATCCCAGCACTTTGGGAGGCCGAGGCGGGTGGATCACGAGGTCAAGAGATCAAGACCATCCTGGTCAACATGGTGAAACCCCGTCTCTTCTAAAAATACAAAAAATTAGCTGGGCATGGTGGCGCATGCCTGTAATCCCAGCTTCTCAGGAGGCTGAGGCAGGAGAATTGCCTGAACCCAGGAGGCGGAGGTTGCGGTGAGCCGAGATCGCGCCATTGCACTCCAGTCTGGGTAACAAGAGCAAAAGTCCGTCTCAAAAAAAAAAAAAAAAAAAAAAAAGGCAGATATGAGCAATTCTAGACCATGTACTGGACTAACCCCCCTAGAGGTCAACAAACTCAAATAATTCAGGACTCTGCCCTCAAGTTGCTCACAAACTGATAAGGAAAATAATTTCGGCCTAGCCAAATACAGTACTCGATTCATTTAACGATTATGTGCCAAACCAAAGGCTAGGTTCTTTCTGTCATGGAATTCACTGATAAACAGTTGCGATTTATGCTGGAAAGGCAATACATAGGGAGCTGTGACAGAGTAATCAAGATGGAGTTGGGTGGTAAAGGAAAGCCTCTCGTGGGGCGTGATTTTTTTTTGGAGAAGGGATCTTGCTGATGAGATCCGCTCACTGCATCCTCCCTCTGCCCACTCCTCCCCCAGGGGATCCTCCCACCTCAGCCTCCTAAGAAGCTAGGAACTACAGGTGCCCAAGCCAGGCTAATTTTTGGTTTTTTTTGTATGGGGTTTCGCCATGTTGCCTATGCTGGTCTTGAACTCTTGAGCTCAAGTGAGCTCAATTGATTTGCCTTCCTGGACCTCCCAAACTAATGGAATTATGGGCGTAAACTACCGCACCTGGCTAAGGGTGTGATCTTTAAGATGAAATCTTAAATGCCAGTTAAACAAAGACCTTTCTCAACAAAGGAAATGTCTTATGTCTCAAATCCAAAGGCGATGGCGGGGCAGGGGAAAAGCTGTAGCATTGTTAGGATGCAAGAGAGAGGCAAAAGAAGATAGAGAGATAGGCAACTTCCAAAACATAGGTGGTCTTTGTAGTGCACAATGAAGCATTTGAATTTGACTCAAAGTCCATTGGGAAATAAGTAAAAGGATTAAGCTACAGAATAATCTGCTTTAATTTACAGTTTTGAAAAGATTAATTTCCCTGTAATGTGAAGAACAGATTGTAGGAGGCCTAAGGGAAAATAACCAAGACAAGCCAGTTGATTGACTAATTATTGAAGCTTAGACTGGAATGGAAGTAAGGAAGATTCAGTCATGCATCCACTGTTTACATGGTTATTGTGTTTCTGCCATGTGCCAGAAAATTTAGAAGAGAAGTAGAGATATTCAAGATATGTTTTTGGGCATGGAACTGAAAGAACTTGATGATGGATTGGAAGTAAAGCATACAGAAAATGGAAGAATAAAATCTCTTGTTTAACAACCAAGTGGCCTGGTGCAGTGGCTCACACCTATAATCCCAAAACTTTGGGAGGCTGCGGAGGGCAAATCACTTAAGGTCAGGAGTTCAAGTCCAGCCTAGCCAACCTGGTGAAACCTCATCTCTACTAAAAGCACAAAAATTTAGCCGAGTGTGGTGATACGCACCTGTAATCCCAGCTACTGGGGAGGCTGAGGCAGCAGAATTGCTTGAACGTGGGAGGCGGAGGTTGCAGTGAGCCGAGATCAATCACACCACTGCACTCCAGTCTGGGTGACAGAGAGAGGCTCTGTCTCCAAAATTAAAAAAATTAAACAACCAAGTGGACAAGATAGGAAGGAGCCAATTTGCACAGAGTATCGAAAGTTCTATTTTGGGCACTGTATTAATTTCCTATGGCTGCTGTAAGAAGTTACTACACATTTAGTGGATTAAAACAGCAGAAATGTGAAGGCTAGAAGTCCAAAATAATTTCGTAGCGCCAAAACCAAGGTATACAACAAGGCCTCGCTCCCTTCTTTCCAGCCTCTAGAGCTACATTCTTTGCATTCCTTAGCTCACAGCCCCTTCCTCCGTCTTCAAAGCCAGCAGCACAGCATCTTCAAAGCTCTTTCTGCTTTTGTCATGTCATTTCCTCTTAAAATCCCTCTGCCTCCCTCTAGTGAGGACCCTGTGAATACATTGGGCCCACCAAATAATTAAGGATAGTCTTCCTATCTCAAGGTTAACTTAATCATGTCTACAAAGTCCCTTTGCCAGACAAGGTAACATTCTCACCTTCCACAGATTAGGACCTGGATATTTTGGAGACCATTATTCAGACTACCAGAGACATTGTATCTAAGGCAAATCAATGACATACTGTACTCAAAATAATCCCAGAAGAGTTAAACAAAGGGACTACTTACAAAGGTGTGGCCTGAGTTTAGGTATTTACATGAGAAAAAGCAGTAACTCCTGGGCTATAAAGAAAGAAATAGGAGGGGCTGGGCGCAGTGTCTCACACCTTTAATCCCAGCACCTTGAGAGGCTGAAGCGGGCGGATCACTTGAGGCCAGGAGTTCAAGATCAGCCTGGCCAACATGGCGAAACCTCATCTTTACCAAAAACACAAAAATTAGCCAGGCATGGTGGCACATGCCTATATTCCCAGCTACTCTGGAGGTTGAGACATGAGAATCACTTGAACCTGGGAGGCAGAGGTTGTAGTGAGCCAAATCACGCCACTGCACTCCACCCTGGGAGATCGAGCAAGATTGTCTCAGAAAAAAAAAAAAAAAGAGAGAAATGAATAAGAGGGAAACCTGAAATGAGGAGAAAATGTATACTCTGAAGAAACACTGATGTCAATCAAGGACACTTTATCCTGAGGTGACCTTACTTGCAGGGAGGACCCAGGGAAATCACCTTATTTCCTCTTCCTCTGACCTCCATTGGCCAAACCCAACCAGAAGCCAGAAGGCAAGGGAGACCACTGATGTAATTCATAAAAATCAGCCTCCAGGCCGGGCTCAGTGGCTCAAGCCTGTAATCCCAGCACTTTGGGAGGCCAAGGCGGGTGGATCACGAGGTCAAGAGATCAAGACCATCCTGGTCAACATGGTGAAACCCCGTCTCTACTAAAAAAATACAAAAAATTAGCTGGGCATGGTGACACGTGCCTGTAATCCCAGCTACTAAGGAGGCTGAGGCAGGAGAATTGCCTGAACCCAGGAGGCGGAGGTTGTGGTGAGCCGAGATTGCGCCATTGCACTCCAGCCTGGGTAACAAGAGCAAAACTCCGTCTCAAAAAAAAAAAAAAAAAAAATCAGCCTCCAAGGGCAGGGAGTAGGGTAGTGAGAGGTAGAAACCAGATCTGGAAAGACTAATACAAAGTATCTGGCACATACAAATGAAAAATTTAACATCTGTTTTTGTTTTTGAAGTGGAGTCTTGCTCTGTCACCCAGGCTGTAGTGCAGTGGTGCGATCTCAGCTCACTGCAACCTTCACCTCCCAGGTTCAAGGGATTCTTCTGCCTCGGCTTCCTGAGTAGCTGAGACTACAGGCATATGCCACCTTGCCTAGCTAAGTTTCATATTTTTAATACCGATGGGGTTTCACCATGTTGGCCGGGCTGGTTTCAAACTCCTGGCCTCAGGTGATCCACCCTCCTTGGACTCCCAAAGTGCTGGGATTACAGGCGTGAGCCTCTGCATCCAGCCAACACCTGTTAATAGAGAAACTTTAGATGAACTAAATTTAGAATAATTTATTGGAGCAAAGAATGACTCCTGAATCAGGCAGCACTCAAAAGTTCAGAGAGCTCTCCCCCAGCAGCAGAGGCAGTGAACTTTATTGGCTGAATGTGGAAATAATTACTTGATTGGCTGTAGCTAATAAGCCTTTACCCTCTTTGGGTGTGGCCCAGTGGAGAGTCCTTAGTGAGAGGTTGGTTGGTGGTTTCTAACAGGTTAAGTTTTGTCTTACTGGGTTTTTTTCTCTGTTTTTTGTCTTACTTTTTTTTTTTTTTTTTTTTGAGACGGAGTTTTGCTCTTGTCACCCACGCTGGAGTGCAATGGTGTGATCTCAGCTCACTGCAACCTCTACCTCCCAGGTTCAAGCAATTCTCCTGCATCAGCCTCCCCAGTAGCTGGGATTATAGGCACCCCCCACTGTACCTGGTTAATTTTTGTATCTCTAGGAGAGACAGGGTTTTGCCATGTTGGCCAAGCTGATCTCAATCTCCTGACCTCAGGTGATCCACCCTCCTTGGCCTTCCAAAGTGCTGGGATTACTGGCATGAGCCACCATACCCAGTCATTTTGTCTTACTGTTTACACTGAATTGTGTTTTAGTTTACTTAAGTAGGAACCCAAGACTCTGGAGCAACCTCAGCCTAATAGCCTCCCTATTAATTATTTTCACATATCTGAGTGGATATGTGAGATAGGTAGATATACAAGACTGAAAGAAAGAAAAAAAAACAACAACGATATACAAGACTGAAGCTCAGGAAAGGTCTAGGTCAGGGTGTCCAATCTTTTGGCTTCCCTGGGCCACACTGAAAAAAAAATTATCTTGGGCCACACATAAAATACACTAATAGCTGATGAGTGAAAGACACAAAAAATTATACATATCTCATAATGTTTTTTTTTTTTTTTTTGAGACAGAGTCTTGCTCTGTTGCCCAGGCTAGAGCGTATGATC